TTTCAAGAAACTGCATTTTAGCATATTTTTCTTGTGGTAAGATTTCTTTTCTTATGTATCTTGAACTAAATATCCTTAGAATATTATTCTTGCAGTAAGAATTTCTAAGTTTTCTAGAAAACAATTCTGTACACAAGAAAAGATTTCTTGAACTAAGATCTAACTCTTCTTGTGGCAAGAAAACCATTCTGTACACAAGAAAAGATTTCTTGAACTATGAGCTAACTGTTCTTGTAGCAAGAAAACCATTCTGTACACAAGAAAAGAAATACAATGTATATAGTGCTACCTAAATATAAAACAGACAATAATGTATAGCAACAAAATGTTATTTTGAAAAGCATTTGGACAGTATAGAGATGTTTATTATCACATTGATTTTTGTACAATGTATCTAATTAAAAATATAAAATCAGTCCATCAACATTCTTGGAATGGAAACAGTTTAACAGTAACTTTCAAAATATTATACGATGTAACTAACAAGCCATTATGATTTCAGAATACAGATCGTATTACATTCTGATCAGAAGCATATTCAGCAAAAACTGCAGTTTTCGCATTATAGAATTGGCAAAGTCACACCCTTTGGAAACCTGAAAAACAACAAGAAAGACCTGTGTTAGTTTGCATGCGAGCACTGAAGGCAACAAGTCAAAAGAGGATGCTAAAATACTATTTTTATTACTTGGAGTAAACAATTTAGAATTATATCATAAAGCACTGTAATAAACTTTACTATACAATACACCAGAGATATATGATTTGACTTTGAAATCAACCCCAATGGCGTTGTAACAATATTTGGGCTATGAAGTCTAAAAACAATGTCAACAGATCTTATAGGTGGGGAGGGGGGCGCACTTACCTTCAATCTGTTTGGTTTCATGCTTTTTCTGTTGCAAAGTTGGTTTCTTCAGCAAGCTGACCACGATCACCATTGCTTCACATGTACACAAGGTCCTTTTTGATTTCATTTTGACTTTAAATCTGACATGAGTCAGTAACTGACAAAAATAAGTAACCAGCGCGGCTCCCACATCTGACTTATGTTCAAAACCCCCTAACTGCATTCTGGGATTTGAATCAACCAATCAGGGGTTTAGAAAAGGTCACATGACAAGAAAAAACTAGAAAAAAGTTCTTACATCATCTTGAACATTACCAGGCAAAATAAGAATCATCTTTCTTAAACTTTCTGGTATTTTCTTAAATGTCGCTAAGAAAAACAAGAATGGTCTTTCTTAAACTTTCTAGGGAAGAAAATCAAGAATGTTTAAGAATATAATACTAGCCATATCTTCAGCCTAATCAAAGATCAATTTTATATTAGACTTTCTTGTTTTTTTTTTCCTATCAGTATTTGTCAAGAAAGATAAGAACTTAATTCTTGTATTTTCTTAAATGTTGCCAAGAAAAACAAGAATGATCTTTCTTAAGCTTTCTAGTCAAGAAAAACAAGAAACCTTAAGAAAGAAACACTAAGCAGAGCTTTATTCTAATAATAGATTTCGATAATCAAATTTCTTGCTTTTTCAATCAGTGTTTCCCAAGAAAGACAAGAACCATTCTTGTATTTTCTTAAACATTGCTAAGAAAAACAAGAATGGCCCTTTTCAATCATTCTCGGTAACATGAACTAGAAATTTTTTTGACAAACACAAGAAAAAAAATCTTAAATCTGACCACTTTGATATCAGGTAAGAAAGAAATCTTCCATGGAGATTAAATAAGAAAATTTAACTAATTCTGAGGGAATTTTAAGATTAAAAGAATTTTAATCTTGTAACTTAGAACCTTCCCTAGAAATATTGTCTTTACTAAAGAAATTTCAAGATTACAAGAATTCTAATCTTGTAAGTTAGAATCTCCTCTAGAAATATTTCTTCACCAAAGAAAAATCAAGATTTAAAGAAGCCTATTTTAGAAAAATTATCTCCACTCAAGAAAAATGAGAAAATTGTTCTTGGTGCAAGAATGTAGGTATACAGAAAATTTATTTTTTTCTTATTTTTTTCTTATTATTCTCCCCCAAAGAAAAATTTTCTTCCCATGAGAAAATAAGAAAAACAAGAAAAAGCACTTTTGGTAGTGTACTAGATGCAATTTGGGCTTACAGCCCCTCCAAATGATGCTTGCAACCCATTTCTCCAGAATGTGCTGATGTGGGACTCGAAACTCTGACCTCTCCATCACAGAACTTGACCCATATCAGTGGTCGAAATACTTTTTTTCAGTGCTCTGCAATATTGCAGAAGAGTCAAAATTTTGTTCTGCAATTTGGAAATACTTTCTGCAAATACACAAGCCTCCATACTACAATCTTGCAGGTATATAAGCATGAACTATTGATTCATATGCAAATTAGTGAAGACAAATTTTTGGAAGTCCAAAAGGATAAGTCAAGACAAGGTTGATGCAAATTAGTGAAGAAGCTCCTGCTGTTTCAGAACAGGAGCTTAAGTGTTGTCTGTCCTTGGGGCCAAGAGCACCAAATCCCAAGTGCCAATTTCTCCTGCTGCAAAATTGCAGATTGTATAAATTTGTCTTCTGCAATCTTGAAAATCTATCTGCAGATTGCAGACTGCAGACAGGTATTTCGAACACTGCATATATATAGCCCTCGACTAAACACCATAGGGGCATGTTTTAACTTGTACCAATCGGTCTTACCTCCCATGTTGACCAGGGCAGCGCGCTGTACGTTTGGCACCCATCCTTTCCACAGGCCACGGATTCCGCCCTCCGCCAAGATTTTCGTAAAAGCGTGCCACGTCCCTCGTACCCTGCCATGTAAAAAAACACTGTCTCTAAATACCGTAATGACTGATTGATCAAATGGTTAAGTTTTTATGATACTTTGTTATACATCATAAACACACAAAATTATAACATTGATATACTGTGTAGGTTTTCTTTGGTGGAAAAATTAATGGCCTCATTACGAAGTATGGCCTAATTATGCAAATATGTCCAGATACAGCTCTGGTTGAAGTGTCCTGAAATACCCCCATTTTTTAGTCCACACTATCTGTATAGAGCTAATTGTACATAGTAGACACCTAATATACAGTTGGATTTTCTGACTAACCATGGCAAAAAAACGACCAATCTAGTTTATTTTTTTGGTCCGCCGCTGGCAAAAATTTGTTAAATGTATTTGTCATGTCATTTGTCATGTCATGTTTGGTCATTTTATCAGCCAAACTCTAAAACAAAACAAAAAATAAATAAATAAAAGAAAAAAAGAGAATCCCTAACCACTGACCCTATTTTTTTCATGACAGAACCTGGAAACACAACATTTTTTTTCATAGGCCTAATGAGTCATCTCAGGAGTTGCAGAAAACTGTCAAACTAATATCTGCCAGCAGGTGAGTCTCAGGCTCATTAGGACAATTGCTACTGATAACGATACGGCTTATGATGACAGAGTGTCTTCATGAATGTGTGCATATACTGTCCGAAACCAACAGATTCCGTCTTTTGCAGCAATTTTGGTTTACAAACTTGTATATCTAATTTAACAAAATGAAAAATACAATAACCATAGCTGATTGCCCTTAGGGTGCTGTGCAAATTCTCCTCATTTATTAGCCAGGGCTGGAAATACCACCTGCATATGCAGGTAAAATTGGAGCTATGCAGGTATTTCTGATGTTTACCTGACCTTACTTGTTAAATACTGCAAAAATTAAAGGTCACAATTTGCCATATCCTCATGACAAGTACACCATACAGTGGTTACTTAAGAGTGACTATATTAATTTTGCAGAAAGTATTTCTGAATGGTACAACAAAATTTGCACACATTCTGCAATTTTGCTGAATGCTGAAAAAATATTTCTACCACAGTGCCAAACAAATATTGTACATTGCAATCCCCTGCCCATGCAAACTGATGTCCCCTCCTGTATTTGAGAGATAAGATAACACACTGTCAGTGTTCCAACCTGTTTGGTCTTCCTATTACTTCATACTACTGGTTTGGCAACGTGAAGTGGGTGTAAAATACTCTAAGGGCCTGGGGTCCTGGAAGTTGACCATTAAGAATAATGACCGAGTTCTGAGAAAAGAGGTTGTTAAACATAATCCTAGCTGCAAGACAGCATTGATCATAACTGTATCTATTTTCTGCAAAGGAAGAGGACAATTATGCCCCATTGAATAGCAGAGCAGTGCTGGACAATGTTGGGTTGGGTTAGGCTGGTTGTGTTGAGTTGAGTTGGACTGGACAGGGTTGGATTAGATTGAACTAGGCAAGATTTGGCTGGCTTGGGTTGGTTACATTGAGTTGGATTAGACAAGGTTGCATTCTGTTGAGTTTAGGTTGACCTGGACAAGGTTGGATTGGTTTGGGTACAGGTTGGGTTGGACTTGGCAAGGTTGGAATGAATGGGCTTGCATGGGTTGCATGAAGTAGGGTTTGGCTTGATCATTACAAAATACAAGTATGGTTCTTAAAATCAACAACAAAATCAATATAAAAAGTCTGAATAACAAATTGATACAGACTCAAAAATTCAGCAAAAATTCACAACTTATTCTTCTTTAACAAAACTCTTGAGTCCACATGCAGACTATATTATAGCAAACATGTTTTCCAATACATACAGGAGGCAGCCAAATTCCAACCCAAGGCAAAATAGACCTGATTTGTCTCAAGGACTACATGTATATATTAAGTCTGCCTGTTTAGCCTGGGGGCACCAGAAACAGATGACATTTACCAAAGGTGTGAGGGGGATTTGGGATGAGGATTTTTCTTCTCATTGCTCTATTAGCGACTAATGTTGTGTGAAGTAAGGCCTAGAAACAAATGTTGTCTTTCTGATTACTCGACCAACCCTAGCAAAAACCTGCTAACCCTAGTTGTCTGGGGGTTGAACCAATAAACCAGTGAACATAAGGATTTTGTCTTATCTGAGTGGAGACCTTAGAATTTTTTTCTCATTGAGAAGATGTTCTCATTTCTTATCTTAAAAGTTCATCTGTGTTGGTAGAAGTCATAAGAAGCAGGTTTAAACTGTAATTTCCAACACAAGAAATTGGGCCTACCCAAATTTTTGACTGTACAATTTAAGTCTTTGTCAAGGAATGAGCAATCCACAGTCAAAAATTTGGATCCGTCCAATTTCTTCTATTGGAAATTACAGTAATAACCTTCAAAATGTTCTCATTTCTGTTCCAACAAAGAAAAAGTGATTTAAGTAATAAAAGAAAGACAGTAAACTCAGGCAAACTTTATACTCCTTTACACTATGAAATCCTAGCATCCTGATTGGACAAAATAGTCACGTAACCCCCTTGTGTCAGCACCTGGTCGTACCTTGCAGGTTTGCCCTCTAATATTCTCCTTCCCTCCATCTGCATCTGTACTTTCACAAGGTCTGTGGGGCTGGCAATAAACTGTCCCAGGGAACCAGCTACCAGCCCTCCACATACTGCCTTCCTGTAGGGGGGAAATAGACAATGACAATGAATTTGATTGCATCTTCACACCCTACATGGGCCAAATTCACTAAGCTAGATACAAGGAATAAGTGTTCCATTGCTGTGCTATGTATACATGTATATTCTACAGGGTCTCTGCTCTCTTTTTCGGATTTGTCAAAAGTGGAATTAAGTTGTCTTCTCATTACTACTTCCTCCATGTGACACAATTTCACACAAATGTCTTAAGGGAAAAACCAATTAAGGCAACACAGTTTTTTTTGCTTGGTTTAAAATGGGTGTAAAATAGGAAGATATATGAAGTAGATATTATGAAAATATCTCACCATACAGGAAAGGATCCGTCTGGTTCCCTCCCCAGTACGTTGTCTCGGATCCACTCATACGCACCCATACGGCAGCCTGAATATACTGGAACAACACAAATAAACAAAGTAACTCATAATGTACTAGTATGTATAATCATAATTCTGAAGTGCTAAATGCAGTTTTTTTTCTAGCTGATATATAAGAAATAGGGGCACTGTGCTCTCATTTTTCATCTTTTTTTCAGTTTAAAAGAATTGATTTGAAACAACATGCTCCATTTCACAATGCGGGACTTGAAGAATATTCACACTTAAGTTACCCAGTTTATAACTTCATCACAATTTTCATGTTCAGTTTTTACCAAGAAAATAATCAGCTTTAAGAATAACGTCCTGTCAACAAGAAGATATTAAATAATATACATTCAACAGTCTTCCAATTTAGGTACCCACTTTTAAGTCAAAGATATTTCCTAATTAATCCCTTCAGGCATCAAACCATTGACAATGTATCAACATATCGCCCTAAGGCAAAAATACAATATGATGACACTACATGAAGTTTAAATAAATGGTCTGCTTAATGCTTTTAGAAAGAAGACGCTCTTCAAAGTCAAATGTGTGCAATAAATTGGGTAGCAAATTTGACATGCTCTACGGCTGATAACACATTCTACGGCTGATTTAAACATGAAATAGTATTATGGATGGTGCAGCAATGGAAGGATTGCCCTCAACAAATTGTAGTTTGAGGCTAGAAAGGCACTTTTAAGTATGAATGAATACCTTTACAGCAATGGCAAATTATAGAAACTGCCTCCGGGCAGAAAAATATGTTGAATGCAGACAAATAATATCTGAAGAAACATGACACTTATTTCTAGAGTGCACCATTGCTTTAAGGGCCTCTTTACTCTTACTTAAAAGTGCTTTAACTGCCTAAAACTACAATTTCTTATTGCATCCCCATATGGTTACTAGTAAGTGACAACATTTCCTGTTTGATGTATTAAACAGCCAGAGGCAAGTAATTTTCTGAACAAGGTCACCAAATTTTCCACTGACATTTGACTTTTGAGGCCACCTCTTTAAAAGCGAGACATTAGTTTGGCTCAGAAATGGAATATCATATTACATGTATGTGTCAGGGCAGAGACTGGGATCTGGTAGAATCCCTGATTCTGCCAGTAGAGATTCTCATACATGTAAATGATAACACAAGACTTTTCTGCAAGGTTTACAGATAAAGATGCTGTACTTACCCACATGCCTCTGTACTGCTGGTGTGAGTCCCTGCCATAGCTTTAGTACCCCTTCTTCACGAGCTGGCAAAATGGTACAAAAAAATTGGACATTTCAGACCTCTGTGAAGTATTTGGAATTTTCTTGACCTTTAAGTTCACCCCATTTCCTGTGTCTGACCTTTTGATCTGCTGTCATTCTGCCTGTAGCTTTGCCCCCCAAACAGACACAAACCCACAGCACAGCCACCCAAAACAACACTTCTGTTAAGTAGCCTTGCTTCAATTACTAGTACATGTATTAGGAACAGCCCTAGCAGGAGTTTGTATGGCCTTTGCAGTCTTCATTCCATGCTATTTGTAAGCCAGGTAGACAATACCTGTACCAGTATACAGTATACATGAGTAAAGAGACTCTTTTCACACAACCAAGTCTTTTATTCAGCCAACGTTTCAGTGACCGTCTGTCACCTTCCTCAGGGCAATTCTGACTGGTTCACATTGCACTTCAGCATAGGTGTTGTTGTACTACATACATGTATATATTGCAGTACTACATACATGTATATATACTATATATACCCACCTACACCAAGAGCTGTTTGTAGCATCCCCCTGTAAGGCACCTTGTGTTTAGACTGTTTGGACAGTTCTCCTTGGATCTGTAGTCTGGTCTTGGTCAGGTCTAGTGGGTAGGTCACTGTAGTCAAACATATACAAATAAACATGTACATGAGCTAATTAAGGTATAGAAAAACTTATGCTGTTTTAATATCGAATTATGTTCCTGAAAAAAAATTGAGTCAGTTCGTAGGTCACTCTCTCTTTTTTTCGAGATTTTAGTCAAAGTTGTCCAAAAAATACGGGTTACAAACAAATCCAGAGCGCGGCCACCAAAAACAATACTTCCGTACCTGAAAGTCATTAACAAAATTTAAGTGTGTCACTGACCCAATTTCCCCACTAAAGGTCACTAGCGGTCAATGACCCCTTTTAACAACAAAACGCTTTTTACACGCAGTGTGTCTCTAAATTAGTCCCCTGTCAACCACGTACAAAGAAAGATTACTATTTCAATACCATACTTTCATATTTTATACAGGATATAGTTTTGTATTGTATGAAAATAAACTGAGTCCGCCTCAGCACTAAAAGTTAAGCCCGCCCCTCCCCCTTCGCTTCTTACCAAATATTTACCCACTTGTTTTACATGGTTCTCGTGCTCGTGTGGCTTTTATAACTTCTCATATGTGTGTAGAGTGTTACCTGTCTCTGCTACTCCGGCGGCGATGACCGACAGGACGTATTTGAACCAGAAACTGTCGGCATAGCCCGGCACGTTCCGGTGGTGACCTCTCTCGGACACCGCCATCTTGGATCGTACCATTGTGACGTGGGGAGCTTTAATACAGTTGTTACTTTTCATACGGCAAGGACATCATGCGTATATGAATTATGTCCAAGCTTGAATACGTATGGAAATATTATTTTCTGTAGCTAAGGTGTGGGTTTGTTTGCCTGTTTGGCCAGAGTACTTTGACAGCACGTGGGTCGGTGGCTGGGTGATTGACAGGCAGAATGACAAGAGGACCAAATGTCATGGGTCAGGAAATTAATGGGGTTAACTTGAAGGGCGCGAAGAAGGAAAAGAAGAAAGAAAAAGGAAAAAAAATATATCAAAGTGATTATGAATGTTATTGTTGAAATAAATTAATTGAACACAAAGCTTTTTATGACGAACAAGACCTTTATTCTTATTCAGCCCGTTCCAAAAACTGTTGTGAAAATCAAATTCGACATAACGCGCAATACATTATAAAGTAAGAAATATAAGGTAAATAATTGGAAAGCAAATACAATTCAAATGTATGGTGAATAGGCTCTCCAACGTACTCGGTTCTGCTACATATTGTAACCCAACACCACAGGGCGTCTGCTACAGTACCAGTTATTATGCAGACGTCTGGTCCACAGGTAATTTACTCTATTTGTTTGGAACGGAAGACGAAGAAGAAACTGAGCAAGAACAATATGTTTTCCTTCTGCGAAGGTTAAAATAAATATACACACATAAAATAAAAATTGCATACAGACTTAAAGTCATTCAATCTCAAAAATTCACTTCCCTCTCTAGAGGTGCAGGCCTTGTGGTGAGTGTTATTGCATCAGATATCTATCCAATCACACTGTCTATCACAGCAGCACAGAGCGGTGATATTAACCGGTACATACATGTTCTAATAATCCCCCAGGCCAACCCTAACTGCTTTAGCGTTTCTACGGTCCGGGAATGCAGCCTAGTAATGATATTGCTACCTTCCTTTGGGTGTGCTTCTGTTTTCCAGGTAAATTCAGCAACACCGCAAAAAAAATCATCTCTCTGAGCACACCTTAAAGCGTGCGTTAAGTACCACGCGAGAGAAGAAATGGAATACTTACGTTTGCTATAAGGTGTCAAATAAAGAATTTATTTTGTGCAGTGTACAGATCTGTGTAATAGCGATTCTGTTACACCATGTCGGCAGAATTTCTATCAGTTTCCCTTCCACATGTACATACCGTATCGCCTATTAGCTATAGCGGCGTCTAGTCTTCAACGAGAAGTCTCATAATTTTGCCGGGGACACTAAGGCCACCTCCATCTAACCTTTAGTCTAGCTATATATAGATATTTGACCATTGGGTCACCGAAGAACAGCTGACAACCCGTTTTTTTTCACCCTTTTCGGTTTTCCCTTCTTGACGTACTCGGTAAGACTAATATTTGCCTTGGCCGTCACCTTAAAATCACATCTACTGTCGCACTCGGTGAAAATTTCATACGGTTTCTGCAAAAATCCCCAAAAGCATAATTTATATCTACAAGCGTCCAGGTAGTAGATTGTAAACGTTAAATTTGCGGACAGTCATGTTTGAAAAACGACCGTTAGATAGGAGATTGACAGTGAGGAATGTAGTGTTTTATTACTGATTTATCTCAATAAGCTGCTGCTAAAGTTACGTTTCATGCCCGAGGAATGTCAGATAACCGAGATTATTGCTTCTGATGGTGATAATTATTCCTGTCGGTGGTGACAGACTGTGGAAGAATTATTAGTAACGTAGAGGGATGTACTTTATCATGTTACTCCACGGTACACTCACTAATCCTATATACATGTGTAATCTGCTATGCTCAACAGTAGACAACACATACGGACGATACTTCTCCTCAACATTCGCAATTACTGTGTAAATTTGTAGTTACAATGTACCTTTTATACATGAATGCAACTTTTGTATATTCGTGTAGGAGTTAATGGCTCGACGGTTACTCGAGAATGGGATACTGGAGTATTCTTCTTCTTCTCCTTGATGCCCAACATCATGGTAATGATTGCTCTGGCATGTTACACTGCATATTCCATTGACACACTGCAAAAAATTATTTTCACTATCGTTTACGTTGTTATAGGCAGCCGGGCCGTGTGTTTGTACGTATTTCTGTCTTTCCTAATATCTTTAGTTGCATGGTGTGTGGGAGGTGATTTTGACAGTTGATTGATGGAGTGTCACGCCTGTGGATGACTCAGCGAGCGCCGGGTGGGAGGAAGTGGGCGGGATGGGAAGTGCTGTGACACCTGATTAAATTACATCAAACGATCGAGGTCTGTGAACTGTGGCAAAAGTACGGCTGAAATCACTTTTTTTCTTTTCTTTTGGCAAAATCATCACTCGCTATAAGCTTGCATGGTACGCCTCGTGTAAGATTAAGAACCACCAACGCATTATTACTTCGCTTTAATGGCCACCCCGAGTATTGGAAACTTGAGTGTTCTGTTGGCAAGAAAGTCAAAATTGGGAAATCTACTCCAAATCCATGGGCAGATGTGACGATAGCAGATTGACAAAATGTTTGAAAGCTCTCTCGTTATATCTTTAGTTGAGAAACTTGCGTATGAGGTTAAGACGAAAATAAGTGGACTTGCCATGGAGAATCTAACAAGCATCTTTTGCAAGCAGCTCATTATCTACACTGTACAAAAGATTTTTGGCAAACAGCGTCTGTGGTGAAACGGCAAAAGTACCAGGTAACGCGTTATACTTTGATTTATTTGGCACGTGAATTAAAACCTTGAAGTTCCCATTAACAAGAAAGTAGAAATGTCGGAAACCTTGCCCCAGACCCATGGGCAGGTTTTACAACGGTTTTCCAAAACGTTTGCAAGCTCCCTACAGTGTATAGTTGAGAAACTTTAAGTAGACGGGCCATGGAGAATCCAACACCCACGAGTGAATACGCTTTGTGCAAGCTGTTAATCATCTTCTCTGTACAACAGATATTTTGGCAAAGTCCCTTGCTAACAACGTGCGTGTTACATCCCACGTAAGTACCAGCAAACCGTTACTTCGATTTCATGATCACCTCGAGAATTAGAAACTTGAGTGTTCTGCTGACAAGGAAGTAAAAGTTGGGAAATCTACCCCAAACCCAAGGGCGGATTTTACGAGCGCAGTTTCACAATATAGTTGCAAGCTCTCTCACTATTTTAGTGTAGAAACCTGAGTCTACAATTAACAAGAAGATAACATACACTTGAAGAATTCCACCGCAATCAGAAGAAGGGTAGGTTTTACGCAAACAATTAATTATGTACACTGCACAAAACGTTTCCTTTTTTGGTAAACTCCTGCGTGGTGCACCCCATGTAAGATTCAGAAACGTGTGAATCAGGAGTTTTATTACATTTATTAATGCACGAAGCTTCGGCACTGGCAATTAACTCAGGACTCCCCTGACTGTAGCATTCTTACCTGACATTTCCAAAATCGTAGAACTGTAACTTTCCTCTGGGACAAGGTTTAACTTTACGACATTTTCGCTTCGTGCACTGTTATGAAATACTTCTTGCTGGTATTTTATTGTGGTAAAAACTACCACCAACAGCCTCTTACCTGTTTGTCATTCCTGAAACGTATTAAGTTCCTGATTTTTTGCTTCTGAAGTTCAAAGTTTCGCTTCTGAAGTTGCTGATATTTTATTGTGGTAAAAACTACCACAAACCGCCCTTACTTGTTTGATATTGCAAAAACGTATAGAGGTCATGTTTTTTGCCTCTGAAGTTCATTGTCGTTAGAAACTTGAATACAAACTAAAAGAAACCTTCACCTTGACCATATTTCAATGGGGATTCTTTCAGATCCTTCTAAAGATCTTGCTAATGCAGGCAATTAACCATAAATGCCCTTCAGCGTAGAGCCATTTTCTTCTTTAATAACTGTGTGGGCCGAGTCTATCTCTAGAGAGGTTGTTTGGGGCTTGTTGGCAACTATACAAAAGTGATAAGGTAATTTGATACTCATGCCTACGAACAGAACTTCCTTTGATGTGGCTATGTTAAGCATGGATTACATGCACTCTGTGCAGATATTGGTGGCTTAAAGAAAGGCTCTGTGATTTTGATACCTGAATCTAGTTTAATTTTAATCCTTTTTAATTATTGATGCCTTGACACACTTTAATGGTAATCTACCTTAATCTACTTCAACCCTAATCCGCTTTATTTTAATGAACTAGATATACTTGAAATGTTTTAATACTTTAACCAATACAGAAATTACTCATCACATACTCTTCTTTGATGAAAAGATAAGCTTTCATTTGACCCGAGAAGGACGTCGGCAGAACGTAACTTTTGATATTGTATTTTCTATGTATATGTTAGCCTCCTTTTCAGGCGTTCCCGGATCGGTCGTTTTTTACGGAGATATATGTAGGGTTGCCGGCTGGAGCTTCTATTGCGTGCGATCTACGTTTGATCAGAAAATACCCCCCCCCAAAAAAAAGCGACCGATCCGGGAACGCCTGAAAAGGAGGCTATGTATATGTAGTGTTTGTATTGAAGTCTCAATTGATAATATTCTCAAGTTTTTAAATTGTAAAAAAGTCTACAATTCAGCCATTTAGGCTGCCACCGACTTTTAAACCGGTATGACTATGTATTTGTTTATGTAAATAATAAACCAGTCATCATCATCATCGTAACGCACTGCACCTGCGTAATCTCCGTAATGTGTTGTGCCTAGCACTCTGACAGAATGTCTCGTTTAAGGTCATATTCGCGTATTGAAAGATGGAATTTTGTCTATGGTTTTCAAATGTTGTGTAGGAAAATATATCGTCTGCAACAGGCAAAATTCTGATGCAACGTTGGCCAAATATCCAACGAAAACCGCTGAAGTCCAAGTTTTGCGCAAGCGCAGTAACTTCTGTCGAGGTGCTGATCCAATGGGTGTTTGCACTCACGTGACTCTGAAGCAAACATTGTCCGCCATGTTGGATGGTTACTGAAGGTGACCCAGCCCACGCTGGTAAGTGGGCGTGTGGGAAATGG